GTAGAGGGCTGACTAAGTGCTTTTGAGGCCTGAACCATCTTCCGTACACATCTCTCCCTGAGGGTGAGGATAATGAGTAATTGCGTTGGCACTGAATTCCCCTGTAGTTGTCAGCATAGGGGCATCTTCAGGAGGTCTCCACAGCGGTTGGGCTGGTGTCCGTGCAGCACTTCATCTGAGCCAGACTCTGTCCCACTGGTCTCACTTAATTCTTATAATATGGCTCTGTGAGGTGATACCCTGCCATACATACATTCCTGGAGGAGTCTGTGGAAGCTCAGATCACATAGCTGCATGGTCCAGCTAACTTTGCTATTTAATATCCATTGGATTATCTTTTTTGATCTACTTAACAGAAATTTCCTTGGTGGTATGATTTGTACTTCTTTCCCTACCTTTTAAAGTTATCTAGCACAAATCAACGTTTTGGAGAAATGTTAACATAAAAGCAGAATTCATTTCAGTGTTAAGATTACATTGCTCTATATAGGTCTGGGAATTTCCACCATAAGAAAGGACTTTTTAATTTTTCTTGTGATTGGTTTATTAATTAGCTGGGTCATGTTGCATTTAGTATCATGACTCTGCTGTGTGGTCATAAGTGGGGTTCCATGTAGGGACTACCTGTTTGCTTTAGCATGCCTTCAAGCATCCATAGATAGAGGGGCTTGCTTAACTAACTCAGGAAGTGTATAATTAACTTTTACTCATCTTAAATGTTGATGACGCGATTCCAGATGGCAAGGTGTATCATTTGCAATCACGTAACAAAATACCCTGCCCTGATGGCTTCCACAATAAAAGTGTTTTTTCTTCTCTTGAGCAGGGAGACTAGAAGCCGCCTGCTGGGCAGATGGATGCTTGGTGCGCCATGGGGATCAGATTCCCCTTCTCCTTGCCCTGTCTTCTTTCCTTGCAGCCTCACATGGGAGCTGATGGGCAGTGTTCACCCTGGTTTCCAGGACCTTGGGTGTATAGGGGCACTTTCCAGGGGGAGGCAGGCATGGATAGTTTTAAAGGAATCAGCTTTCAGATTGTCATCTTCCAAATGTAATTGTACCTAAAATTGAATTGCCTGAGAGAGAGTGCATTTGAGCCCAGGAGTTCTATAGGTTCTCTTGTCCACCTTTCCTTTTACAATTGCCCTTCTGCTTTCCAAAAAATTAGGCACGTCTCAACCAGGCTTTTACAAGTGTACATGATGTAGGGTGTGGATAAAAATAGAATAATTTCCCAGAGCACCAAACCCAGGATGCCTCAGAATGCTGATTTTAGGTCCAGCTTGCCCTTTCTTGTGCGGAGAGTTTTTTAGGAATGAATGTGGAGATGTTCTGAATGGAGATATATTGTATAGGGGGTCTTGGGCGGGGTGAGCAACTTTCATTTAAAGCCCTTACCATTTCTAATCCTCTACTGTTGTCATAAAATGAACTGCTTTTTAAGGAGAAAGTCCCATGAAAGCAACAGCATTCAGCTATTCACATTTTTCAGCTATTTATACTTCATTCCTGGAATGAGTTATTTACTGGAAAGAAAAGTAACCTGGTACTTGAACAGTTTAAGTTAGTGGCAGTGATTCTTTTAAATGTCCCTATGGTGTCTGCAGGATTACCAGATTTTCAGACACTGGATTGAAGGTACATTCTGAAAAGAGAATTTCTATGATTTTCAGATTGCATATTGACAGTAATTAAAATCAATTTAGCTTTTGATATATCATAAAATATTCTAGTTACAGTCAGTCCTACTGCCTTTATAAAATTAATGCCTTTACAATCATATTCTAGTTACTAGTTTTTTAGCAGTGCACATTTGGCTTTCATTAAATATAAAGGAAATGTTTAATCATGGTGTCTAGCAAAATTAGTGGAACTTATTTCTGGTTTTGTACACATGATTTTTTTACTAAATTTCCTCATAGTTGAATAGCATACATGGTAGCACACATTTAGTGAAGGAATGCAGGCATTGATCATTGTCTCATGCTTCATAGACTTAGACTGTGACCCATGCAGTTAGCATTGAATCATTACAAAATAAATGAGAAATGGATAAGGTTTATTTTGTTTTTTTGTTACAGAACTAGAGGATAATTACATATGAATCATGTAAATTTTGCCTGCTTCTAAAAATAAGTTGAAAGTACATTATTTGATGTCTTCTTTTAATTTATCCCATAACATTCCTTGAAACATGTTTTAATATGTTTATTTGAGTTAAAAAATGAAGTTGGACCTTTTATCAGAAATAGGCCAACTGTCCTGATAGTGATGACTTAACTACATTGCTTGGGCTTTGTGACACACCATACCCCTACATTGAATGAGCTGAGTCTGCAGCTGCAAAGTTATGATGAAATTATGTTTATTTATTTTTAAAGATTTTACTTATTTATATTTAGAGAGTGGGAAGGGAGGGAGACAGAAAGGGAGAGAAACATCAGTTGGTTGCTTCTCATCCCCATCTGGGGATGTGGTCCGCAACCCAGGCATGTGCCCTGACTGGAAATCAAGCTGGCCACCTGTTGGTTCGTAGACGAGTGCTCAGTCCACTTAAGCCATATCAGCCAGGGCTAATGAAATAGTATTTAATGCACACTAGCATTTTATTTTTAAAAATATATTTTTTAAAGATTTTATTTATTTTTAGACAAGGGAAGGGAGGGAAAAAGAGGAAGAGAAACATCAATGTGTGCCCCCTGCTGGGGACCTGGCCTGCAACCTAGGCATGTGCCCTACTCTGGGAATCAAATCAGTGACACAGGCTGGTGCTCAGTCCACTGAGTCACACCAGCTAGGGCTTAAAAATATTTTTTTAATTGACAAAAATACATGCTGACCATGTCTCAGTCTAGCAATAAGTAATAGTTAACACACAGACACATGTACCCTAGATGGAGTGGTTGGTTGTGTGGGAACCTGGTGATGCCCAGTGAAAGTCTGTGTGCAAAACAAGCAGTCAGACTCACCTTCTTGATGCATTTTCAGTACAGTTTTGCTTTTATTTTTATAATTATCAGAGTTTTTATATGTTACTTGGATTTAGTTTGCATTACTAAGAATTTCAGTGGGAATTCAGTTTTTCATATGAAGAACTTTAACTCTTGAAAATATACTTAAATACATTTTAAAAATAAATAAAATTTAAATTAATGTACAGATTTTTACTGTAAGGAAATAATGGCAGGGTGATAAAAGGCTTCAAACAACACATTCAGGTAAAATTCCAGAGGTGAGTAGAATTAACATACACATTCCAGAAGAATAGGGAGTGATTAGAAGTTCTGACTATTACAGAAGAGTGAGTGAATTTTATTCTCTAACACGTCACCTCACTTCCTCACCCTAGTCCCAGCCCTGCTCTGTTGTCTGAAAGCCAGAAGAGCAATTTAGAGAAACAGGGAGATTAGCCAGAGCTCATCCAGTGGGGGTTATTTGGTAAACTGAAGCAGAGAACAGAAAAGGAAGTGCTCAAAGGTATAATGGAATTGTATTTTCCTGTAGCAAAAGAGGCACTGAATCTGCTTCCTGAATAATGAGACTTGCCATCTGAAGTCCTTATTAATTGCACTTGCAGACATTCCTCTGGCACCCAGGAAGAAAATAGTAGACTGTGTGCAGGAAGATGTGCTGCAGTTAGCACTGCCCCTCACCCCGGAGCTATGAGTACTAAGCACTGAGGGCAGGAAGATGTGATCCAGGAGTTTCATACCAGCCATGGTGGCTGGCAAATACAGAGGGCAGGAAAGCTCTTAGGACATGTGGGACCATGAGAGATATGGGAAACAATTGGAATGAGATCCAGACACTCAGGAGAGGAGCAGGTTCAGGAAGCAGCAGGCACCATGCTTACGGAGAGGAGATAGTGCAGCTCTGGACCTGGGACCCATGGACTCATGTGACATCAAAACCTTAAGGTAAAATCTGCTGTAACAAAGACAGTTCATCCTGTATCGCAGAGTCAACCATTGCTGTTTAAAACAGAAACGAAAGTTCCAGAAAAAGTGCAGCCTCTCCTATTTTCCATTTTTTTCTTTAAATTTAGATTAAATTTCCATGAAGAAATAGTTTTCTAGAAGTTTAGCAAGTCCTTCAGTTTTTGTTTCTTTTCATTTTGTTAAATTCAACAAAATTAAATCGAATATTTTTATTCAGAACTTGTATGCTATTCATTATAAAATTGTCTTTATGAAGCCATCCATGTACTTGTGTCCAGCTATGTCTGGACACAGCAGTAATAGCACCTAAAATTCCTTGGCACTCATTATGAACCAAGCACAGTTTTAAACTCTTACACATATTTATTTATTTTGAGGTAGGGGCTGTTATTCCCATTTTATAGGTACAAAACACTGAGACTAGAGCTTAGGTTACTTGTCCAATGTCAGGTTAGTTGTGGAGCCAGACATTGAATATAGACTGTTGGTTTCTGCTTCTGGGATTTCCTACTGCTCATAAACCATATGAATGTCTGAAAAGAAAAAAAAACCCTTTCTGAGTGTCAGGATTTTTCTTTCTTCTTTGTACTTCATTTTTTAAAAAGCCTTTATGAAACCAATTAAGTGATGAGTTTTGGAAAGGAAGCTGGACAGGAATAACCTGAAGGATATGGCAGCCATTTAGCAGGTGCCAAGGTGCCCAAGGCGAGGATGCAATGACCTGCATTCTTTCCTCCTTTTTCTGTGATTCTGTTGCTCCGAGTGGTTGGTTTTGCCCAGAGATCTGCATGCCTGGAGCTGTTGGAGTTGGAGGGTAAGGCAGTTTCTGCCCTAAGAAATGGGCAATTGGGATATGATTGCTGTCTGTCCAAAAGACACACATGATCAGTATTTTTTTTTCACCTCTTACCTCGTGGCAGTCCCTGTTCAGTAATTTTAATTCTATAGGTCTATGCAGAGTGACAGGTAATGGGAAGGCTGTCTCCACCAGCATGTGGCCTCCATGAAGGCAGGGGCCTGGACAGTACAATGTACAGTGCATTGTTGGTTTGTGTCATTTTAGGAGCCTCAGGGTCTACTCAGAAGAAAATGAAAGGTGGCAAAGTCAGCCCTACTCACTTGTACGCAAGCCAGAGTGGTTGGTTGTGTGGGAACCTGGTGGTGCCTGGTGGAGGTTTACCAGGACCAGCTCCAGCAGCTGGAGTGCAGTGTGTTCAGGCCCAATTACTGCAGGTAAGTGCCATCAAGCTGGGAAGAAACAGGCAACAGAGGTGTCCAGATAAGAGCCGTGAGCAAGGCCTCAGGCCTTATGTCTCTGAGTGCACTTTCCTCTCAGTGGCCCTCCCAGCCCCCCCTGCTTCTGAATTGTTTCAAGTCCTGTTTTATATCCTAAATATTCATAACCCCAGCTTCTCATTTCTTCCCATCCATCATACTACATTTGTTCAAGCTTTTGTCTTCATTAAGATCGATGCATCAGTGTCAAAACTTTCCTTATGTGTCTGGTCCTCCCCATTCCCCATGTGATCCGTCTTCCTTACTTTGTTGGGAGTCCTGTGGGATATAGAAATGTGCCTGCTCCATCCCAAGGGCCCCTGTAGCTGTCTTGCAGCTGCTTGGGCTGCTTAAGGCTGGCCCCACTCAGGCACTACATTGCTGCAGATGCCTTATGGTACCTGGCTCCTTGTGTTGCCTGCCCTTTCCCAGGCCCTACTTCTCTTTTCAGGGCTGGGGTGAAGGGGATTCTTTAGGCTGCATTGTCACCCCCATCTCTGGGGACTACGTGTAGCACACCAGAGGATATAGCCTCTATATATTAAACTTGCTAGTTTTTTTTTCTTGTTTTCTTATTTTTACCAAAATTAAGCCTCTCAAGTACAGGACCAGCTACCTGTTAGATTGTGCCCAGGGTCCAGTAGATTGTCTGCAGCTGACAGCCACTCCATGAACACTCACTGGACACATTTACCTCCATACTTCTGCGTACACTTTTACTTCCAGTTTTTTTTTTAAAAGATTTTATTTATTCATTTTTAGGGGAAGGGAGAGAAGGAGGGAGAGAAACATCAATGTGTGGTTGCCCCTTACCTGCCCCATACTGGGTACTTGACCTGCAACCAAGGCATGAGCCCTAGACTGGGAATTGAACCAGCGACCCTTCGATTCGCAGGCTGGCACTCAGTCCACTGGGCCACACCAGCCAGGGCTCCAGTCTTACATATGAGAGGCCAGAATAGGGAGGTAAGGTAATTTGGGTTTTAGGACAGCAGAGATTTAAAAAGATGAGGATACCTCACTCTGACCTGACCTGATCACATGCTGCCTCTTCACTGAGCAATCTTCTGTGTCCTGGGTACTCTGGTGCCAAAGAGTGCCATGTGGCCAGGGTGGCACAATTAAGAGATGTCAGGACATCTGCGTCCTGAGCTGATCTGGAAGAGGGAGGAAAATAGTACCATCTGTGGGGTCTGTAGTTCTGGGACAGGTTCATGAAGGAGATAGGACTACTTTGGCTGTGAAGAGTCTGTAGGGTTCAGATAAATGAGGACAGGAACAGCCTGGGCAGAGCCTGGGGAGGGCTTGGAAGATGGGTCCAGTGAATGGCCATGCTGTCATAAACCAGACGCTGACGTTGAGAACTTTGTGGGGTGGGACTTGTCTGTGGAGAGATGAAAGATTCTCCCAAGATGGAGGTAGTGGAAGTTGGGTGTGTGAGGGGGGACTGGCCCTAACCTTCTGAGCCTAGTCAAGGCTGGTAGGTCAGAAGTGAAGAAGGCACGACTCAAGTTTCTGAAACAGAAACTGCAGAGAAGCTGGTACCACTGGCAGAACAGGAGCTAGTTGGAAAAGTAGTGGCTATTTTTGTTTAAAAAAAAAATTTTTTTTTAGTTGTATTTTTTCTGTTACCATATATCCCCCTTATATCCCATCCCCACTGCAGTCACCACACTGTTGTCCATGCCCATTAGTACTTTTTCCTTTTTGCTCAATCCCTCCACTCTCTGACACTGTCCCCCACAGTTGTCTGCCAGCTTGCTCTCTATGAGTCAGTTTCTGTTTTGCTTTTTTGCCAAATAGATTCCACAGATGAGTAAAGTCATATGGTGTTTGTCTTTCTCTGGCTGGCTTATTTCACTTAGCATAATATTCTCCAGGTTCATTCATGCTGTTGCAAAGGGTAAAATTTTCTTCTTTTTTTGTGGCCGATTGGTGCAGCACTGTGGAAAGCAGTAGCTATTTTTCTAAGAGACACCCAAATAAAGATGTCAGCTTTGAGGTAGAGAAACCTGGGTTTTTTAATTCTTTATTTTTCCCTTAGTGGCTAGTGTAGTCTTAGGCAAGTTAAGCACTTCGGGACTCTGTTTTATCATATGTAAAATGGGAACAATAGTGCTCAGCGCTTGACACAAAAGGTTCTTGAGGCTGTGGAAAGAATGAGAGATGCTAATAATGGTGGTGGGCCAGGAATTGAGTGGTGAGGGCTATGGATGGCTGTGGGCTGAATGTACAGATGAAAGGTGAAGTGTTAAGCAGTGTCCATTTTGTGAATTGGGCGATTAGGGGCCTGGTAACCTCCCCATCTTGAAAAGACCTTCCATCTCTCTAGTCCCTTTCCAGCCTGATTGAGGGCTGGATTCAGGGCAGAGATGCACCTACCTGTGTGGTCTGAGAAGGCTGCCAGGGAGCAGTGAGACACAGGGAGGGATGCCAGTAGTCTGCTAGAGTTCAAGAACAATCCACAAGAGACAAATTGGCATTTGGACTGAGGGGAGGAATTTGAGTGTGGGAGAGTACGGGAAAGTTCCAGAAGGGCTTGGGTCTGGGAAGGAGCAGCCAATTGGCAGATGGTTCAGGCCCTACTTACCCACTGGGCTTTGTGCTGGGATCCAGGTGAGACAATGAGGACCAGCAGGAGGGGCAAGCAGCTCCCAGCCCCAGTGCCAATTATTGCTGAGTTCTCAAGGCTTCACCTGGGTCCAGGTGGTGCCTTACTTAGAATACAGTGGGTGGGATTGGTTCTTCTACATACCATACTGAGAGATCTCAGGCTGAGGGAAGAAATGCTGTCATGCCTGGTTAATAAAACATGTGCTCTTGCCTCCCCAGGATGACCCCTCAGGTGAAGCAGTCTTGCCGTTGGTGCTCAGCCCACAGCCTTCTACATGCCAGCCCCTGTTCACCATTGGTTTGCCTGTCTATGTCCTCCAGGTCTGATGCCTTACAGCTCTTTGGGTTTGTTAGTAAGACTACCATGAAGTGTCCAGCTTCTGAGGCTGGTCATGGCAGTGGGCTTTGGGTAGAGATTCATTGAGTTGGTTGCCAGCTTTCTAGAAAAGGTGGTAAATGGCCAAGAAGTAAAGACAAAGTAAGACTAAAGCTCAAATTTGCTGTCATTGTGGCTCCTACTTGTAAATAAGGTGAAAATACCCATATATAGAAATTCTAGTTACTTTCTTCTGTGGGGAGTTAGTTTTTAACCTGTGGGAAATATACCCAGACCAATTATAGAGTTTCCTTAAGTAAGTGGGTAAGCTGGGTATAGGTGGCTGTGGATAATTTGGATATAAAATAATGAAAGTATCCAGCTTATTAAATTTCTAATATTAAGCTTAAATATATATATTTAAAAGTCCATACAAATAGTAATTTTAGTTTTGTTTTATTCAAATTGGCCTATTAAACATTTTCCTTAATGTCAAAAATAAATAGTGAATAAAGTGCTGGTATGAGGTGGTGATGGGGGTGGGAGTTCCCAGAGTACTAGAGTGGGGGTAAATTGGAGGGTGGTTTGGTACCATTTATCCAGAAAGCCTCATTAGTGTCTACTGCCTTCTGCCTGGTAAGCCTACTCATGAGATCACTCCTAAAGAAATCAGGTAGGATACAAGTAGCCAAAAGCTGGTCATCGTGGCCTCCCTAGTGATGTAGGAATGTTTCTCTAGCAAGAAGACGTGTATTAGATGGGTGATGATGGTGCAGCTGGAGGTCTGGTCAGCCACTGATGACACAGATGGACACCTAGTAACTAGCAAGGTGCTTCCCACATATTAAGTAGGGGAAAGAAGGTTATAGGTTCAATAAGGACAGTCTTATTTTTGAGAAAACCTATAACACAGTATTGAGTTTTATTTATCCTTATTTTTGTTTATATTTAAATTTCTTCAAGGAACATGTATTTAAACATAAGGGGAAAACAAGTTCTTTTTAATTGAGAGAAGTCAGGAGCACCCTACTGGTTGGCCCTGCAGGTTATGCTGCCAGTCAGTGAGCGGCAGTGAGGTTGCCTTCTATGAGGTGGTCCTGCACCACCTCAGCTCTCTGCTCTGTCTCCCTCATTACTCTGCTTGGTTTTGCAGGAGGTGCTTCCTGCAGCCGGAGGGGCTGCTGGGCCTGAGGATACGCACTGCACAGGCAGCACAATCAATCTGCAGGACCTGCAGTGAAAGCAGCCCACTACCTGGGGGACCCACGGGCGACGCCTCCAGTCTGTGTCCCTGCAAGACTCTTGTTACGTGGTCTTGCAGGCCTGGGTGAGAACCCACTTGCTTTATGCTTAGAAGGCCAGCCTAGTTCTTCAGAGACTTTTGGGTACATTTATTGAAAATGTTTTTATTACATCTATCAAGAACCAGTTTGAGGCATACCATTTGAAACTGCCTTGTCCAAACAGAGTGCTTCAGTGATGCAAGGATTGCCTTCCTGGCAAAGCATGCACCTCTTCTGTACTTGTCTATGTGTGCACATCCCTTGTCCTATTTGATCTGAGCCATGGAGCACCAGTTGCATTTAAAAAAAAGACTTGTGCAGGAAATTGTGTACAAGTTCCCTAGTCAAATACAGCTTATCTGTAGTAAAACCAGATGGGGTCTTTCAGCTTTGGTGTTTCAGCATTTGCCTGAGAGAGATCTAAAAAACCCATTTTTCCCTCTCTCAGAGCTGTGTAACAGGCTGTTTCCCAACCTCTTGGACAGTGTTCCTAGGTGGGTTTTGTCACACTGAGGCAAAAGTAGGCTTGCTGTTACAGGAAGCCAAATTTTAATCCATGTTCTGGCAGACCAGGCAGGCTGCTCGTGTGAGAGGAAAATATTGAGGGTGAAGTGGGCACATTGGGGCCTCTGTTAGCGAGCCCTCTGTGTAGCCTGAATTTTGAGCTCATAGTTTGGGAATGGTAGAGTTGGAACATTCAAAATAATTTTTCTAAATTCTGTATTTGGGTACTCGCATTTAATAGTAATTTGACAATGGTTTATAAAGTATTGTTCTGAATACTATAAATTATGTGCAGGATTGTAATGATGGCATGTACATGTTTTTGTTGAGATTGAAGATGTGCTATCATATGTCATCGTATATTTTTATAGAGTAAGTTCTGTATTGCAGGAGGAGACGAACGGATAACCTTGCACATACTTATTTGTTAATCAGTTAGTATACTGGACATGGTCACTCAGAAATGCTGTGTTTGCCTTGTGCCTTTTGAACTGTGTGTTTTTTCAGATGCTATTTTGGTTCTCAGACTTGGAATCATCCAAGCTCTGCACATTCTTTGTTTTCTTTGTTTCTTGAGTATTTGGACTTGGACTTTTGGGAGTGACCCAATGTGATTTCTCTCTGTCCGGTTCTGAGGTGCCATCTGCGCCTGCTCAGTGCTTCCCCACCCAAAGGAATTTAGGCCCTATTTATAAATGGTTCATACAGAACTCTGTGCTGCGTCACAAACTAAAGTTCTGTGCCCATTAGGCTCAGCTTCCAGGTCCTCCAGAAATCCCCTCCCTCTCCAAGGAGCCAGGCCTGTCTGCCAAGGGTAGTCACACTGCACTGGTTTCCCAAAAGAGCATGTATTGCTGGACCTTTCCTTCCGCACGTCCCCAGTGAATGTCCACTACAAAGTAACTGGTACTGGCTGTCGGTATTCAGGGCACTGAGCTTCCCTGTTGGCAATGGACCTAACTCCCAGTACAAATGAATAAAAGTTTTTGTATAGTTACACACTGAAGGTTTCACCTGGCTTAAATTAAGAAATTGTGTGTGTAGTGTTGAAATCACTTGTTCCTCCAGTCAGTAGTAATAACCTTTCCGTCTGCCCAGCTTGCTGCTTTTTCTTGTCTTTGTGTCGGGGCTAGCCTCACACTACAGCCCGGCATGGAATTGGCTCTTGTCTTTCAAAGCATTTGTTTTAGACGGAAGCCAAGATGAGCTCCTTCCCTCAAGCATTTGCTTAGGGTTAAATGATTAAAACACTGGCATTTGGAAATAGGGTCTACCTCCTTAAACAGATCTTAGACACCAAAGAGTCTTGGGATTTATTTCATATGAGTAAGGAAACGTACAGGAGGAGACCACAAGGGGCTCAGCAATGGCTGCATCCAGGCTGTGACACAGACTTGTTTACTTCCTGCTGCCATCTTTCCTGTGCTGTCAGCCAGACCAGCGCCCTCAAAGGCTAGGTGAAGAAGAACAGTTGCTCCTCCTTTTCCTTGTCCAGCAGCTCATGCTCGGGCTCTTCCTTGGTTTTCAGGACCGGGGGCTGGGAGCGGCACACCAGCCTTCTGCCTCTCTGCAGAAGTAGCAGACTCAGTGACCCTCTTCTGGTGGCTTCAGTACACCAGAGGTGCTATCTAGATGCTGAGAGGTCACATCCCTGCCAGGAGGCTGGGGAGCTGGGGCTGTGGGGCCCTGTGAGCTGTCCCAGCCTCTGGCCACTCCTGGTCAGCTGCAGGCCAGGGGCTGCAGTAATTGAGCTGGCTCAGGAGTGTGTCCGTCTGGCACTAAAGCCTAATCCCTGGGTTGCCAGACCCTAGATATGTGGGGGTGGTTGAGGGGGAGATACCTGGAAACACAGATGGGAAGTAGCGTGCTGTGGGGGTTATGGGGGGAACCCTGTAGTGTCTGCCATTCTCCATGGGAGAGAGTGGAGAGTGCTGGTGTATTCCAGGGAAAGCCCATCAGCCTTGTTTGTCTGTTATTGGCCATGTTCAGGTTTGGGTTTGCATTAGAGACCATGCCCCCTGTGCTAGGGCCAGAGGCATGTGGCTAGTTCTACCCATTCCCTGTGGGGTTGAAGACCTTGGGACACAGCATCAGAGGGACCCTAGTGACAAGTGATGAGCTTGGCCTGAGGTGTAGGTTGTGTAGTGGGACTCTGGACAGCTGAGATCTTGTGCTAGATCTCTGAGCTTAGGGCCTACACCTGGGCATGGCCGGGAGGGCATGACCAGGCCAGTCATGGACCAGGAGTGTGTCCTGGGGAAGGCTTCTGGAGGAAGGGGACGGCAGCCCTGAGGGGTAGTAGGCCCAGGAATGGGAGACCCTACTCTACTCATGTCTTGCTCTTACGCCCCCAGGATCCCTGCAATAGCATCTGCAAAGGGTTTGGTGAATCTGGCTTAGATGCAGGCCCTCTTTTCCTCCCAGCCCCACTGTACCTGGCTGAGGGACCCTTTCCCAGCAGTAGCTCCCCAGGGCCACCCTGCCCACCTTCTTCTTGATCTCAGCCTGGGCCCTGGCTTGGGCTCGTTGCAGACGCTCCTCTTGAAGCTGCTTCTGCATCTTAGCTTTCTCTTCCCGGAGTCTGGGTGGTAGTGACAGCAAGAAATGGATTAAAGACTAGAGGGGCCAGAGGAAGCTGCCAAATTCCCTTCCCAGTTCCTTCATACACATCCCTCAGGCCATGGCCCGCCTTCTGAGAAGAATTCCCACTCCTGTCTACCCTTTGCTTCTAGGGCAGGGCCTTGGTTCTGCTCTTGCTCCTCCAGGGCCATCCCAGCTCAGGGAGATAATCTAAGGGCCATCATCTCGTACCCTCAGGAAGCCCAGGTTCCTAGATCCTCATACCCTGGTCACTGATTCATGTGTCAAGGTCTTCCCCGTTATCACTCTTGAAGGCCCAGAACCCAGCAAAGTTAGTAGCCTTGTCTCCTTCCTGTTTGTACTTCTCAGACCTTTGCCCAGTGTCTACCCTGAGCAGGGTACCAGAGAAAGAGCCCCTGTGCTCATGGGAGGCGCACATGGCTGTGTCTAAGGGCTCTGCATAGGAGTGAATGAACCAGGAGCCCACATCCAATGGAGTAATGGCCTCCAGAACTCAGCTGCACCCCACTAGGCCTTTGGGGAGTTCCCCAGACCTCCCCTCGGAGGACTGGCCCATGCCACCTGTATCCAGTGTTCTGACAGCGCCAACTCCACCTTTCTGCCCCTGACACTATAAATCCTGGGCTTCCTCCTAGCTGCTGCTGGAGTCCCTTCTCATTTCCTCACCTGGGCTCTGGCAGTGCCAGCCTCTTCTCCAATCCAGCCAGGAAAATGTCCCTTGTCCTCAGAAGCAAGGCTATGCTAGCCAAACCTCCCTTTGGCTCCCTGATTCCACAATGTCCCGCTCTCCACAAAAAGGGCTTTCCTCACTGGGGTTGAGCTTGGTGTCCCCTCCATTTCCTCCCCCCGCCCCCCTCCCCGAGCTCTGGCTGCTGGCTCTCCTAGCATGGAGAACCAAGGCCCTGTCCCCTTGGTTTGGGAGTTCTTGGAGGCAGGACAACAGGGCCAGCCCAGGAGGGCAGTTAGGCTCTCACCTCTGGCGCCGCTCCTTCTCCTTGGCCTTCTCAGCCCGTTCAACCTTGACCTGGGGCACATGTTCCAGGTTCTCGAGCAGTTCATCCATCTGGTGCTCGATGATGGTCAGCATCTGCACAGTGCCCAGGTTGGACTCCTGCTGGACACCGACACAGTGCTGGTACACATCCAGAACCTTGTGGTTGAGGCTCTCCAACAGCCTGTCCTGTGAGGTGGGCAGTCCATCAGCGAGGTCACTCTGGCTTGTGTCTGCCCGCCACCTCATCGTCTGCCCTCACTGGCATGGTGGACCTCCCAGGGCCCTGTTTGGCAGGGGCGAGCACTTGGGAAGACAGAACTCGGACACCTGGATTTACCTTGGCCAGAGCTGTGATCCCCTTGCTCTTTTGTAGTCAGCCAAATCTTGGGTTCCAGTCCCCAATGGGGCTGCCTGTGCCTCAGCCCCTTCCTCAGCTGCCTCATTGTGTCCACCAAGGGCCAGTCCCCTCCTTCTGAGAGCCCTCTCTCTACTGCCCCTACACTGACCTCAGCTCCCCTCAGGACCACATCCTATGATCTACTTTCTGTGAGGCCCTGGCCCAATGAACATCCCCGACCCCCCAATCTCTGAGCTTGTTCTGACATTCAGAAAAAAGTTAACCACTCCTCTGACACAAGTGGGCCTGAAGACTAAATGATTAACAGCAGGTAGAAAACCTTAAGCCAGGCACAGGGCACAGCTGGTACCCAGTGACAACTAGCAGGAGGCGGGAGATCCACTGGCCTGCTCATTGTGGCATCCAGTGTACCCGGCCCAGTGCCTGCAGTAGGAATTTGGAAGAATTAGGAAACTGGGGGTGTTATCAAGAAAGGTGTGTGTCAAATCCTGGTCCTGCTTCCTGGAACATTCCTGGCCTTCTGTGCCTTCAGAATTCTCACATAGCTTGGCCTTTGTAAGTGCCTGACTTCCTCCCAGCAGGGTCACCTTCTGGGTACAGGGTACAAGTTTAAGAAGCAGCTGTATTTGTTGGATAAAAGAAGGC